GGTACAACACCAAAATATATTCTTGCATTTGTAAAATATATATATAAAACAAAATTTGCAACTCTTTATACAATAGTATAAATGAAATTATCAGTTAAAATCAAATTGATGTTTACAGTTTCCCTTAATATTAATCTCATTATAAACAACACATGCGAAATAAACCAATAATCCCATTATTTTATTTTTACCCATAATTTTTACATTAAAACATGAATGTTTTTCCCTGACATGTGATGGGATAAGCAGCGTGTGCTCGGTCAAAACCATTGATCCCAGTATCAGGCAGCAGATCTCCTTTCCCTACAGGGTCACCACTTTCCCATAATCACACAGAGATCTGTTACACTCCCTTCATTTACCCACAGTCTTCCACCTGTTCCCCTGAGACCTCACTATTATCCCCCAGGCATTAACGGCAGCATGCTGCTGGCTCCACATGGCTTATTGTCTCGCAGAGCACTCTGATTGGCTCAGACTGTGGGAAACCTCAACCAGACTAAGACCCACACATTCATATGGAGATGCTGGAGTATAAATGGGAGGGATGAAACCAGTAGAGATCAGATTCTCTCTACAGAGATCTCCACAGCACAGAGATCCAGGCATGGCACCTAAAATCCCTGCAGCAATTAACAGTTCTGAGGAGCATCTGACTCTGACTCACAAGGTAAATCAAAAATTTGTGGAATTTGTTTTCTATAAAATTTTATCAATTATATTTTCTTGTTAACACAAAACTCCCGAACAAATTTATTAATTGCATTATTCTTCTTTGCAGCTCAGAAAGCCTCTGGTGGAGAAGTTACGCAGAGAGCGAATCAACACCTGCATTGAGCAGCTCAAGTCTCTCCTGGGTCCAGAGTTCCTCAAACAGCAGCCAGACTCCAAACTGGAGAAAGCAGACATCCTGGAGATGACCGTTTGCTTCCTGACACAGCTACAGCAGCAGAGAAACCTGCTGACACACTGCAACAAGCTGCAGACTGCCTCTGATAAGAAGCTGAAAGAGGCTGACTTCTCTCCTCTGAGCTCCACAGTCCAGAACATGATCACCAAAAACAAATGTCCGATCAACAGCGCTCTCTGGAGGCCATGGTAGACACGACAAACTGGAGTTAATACCAAGAAAAAAAGAGACCATATTGGTCAAACGTGACAGGACTGAATTATTTGAACTTTCTGTGTTCTTCTGTGTGTGCAAGACGACATTTCCTGAGGAAATGACAGCAATAGAGCCTTTCGTGTTAAGGAAGAAAATATCTTGTCATGCATGTAGCATGAATGAAATCTGATTGCATCAGCGATTATTATCAATGCCTAATGTACGTGTTATGGTAACATAGTTGTATATATAGTACTATAGTTTTTGTCTGTTTTTTTTCTGTGCAAGATGACATTTCCTGAGGAAATGACATCTTGCACATTAAGAAAGAAAACCTCATGTCATGCATGTTGCATGAACCAAATGTAATATTTTGTTTGTTGGTTTTTGACCCTTGTGATCTAAGATTGAAATGTCCTTTTTCTGGACTGATTGTAAAATTAAACTTGACCCCCATTTAATATCGAAACAGATCTGTTCTAAGATCCAGTTGTTTATCCTTTTAATTATAAAAGGCTTGATATGACCATTTTAACCCCTACTTCACTGAGGATTAAACAGTATATTATTTGTACCTTTTGATAAACACTGATCACTTCGTGATTACTGAAAACCAATCTGTTTTAAGATTAATATTTTATGTTTCACACTGTCAGCTTTTTTGTGATAGGTGTTTCTTTTTTTCTTTTGGGAACGTAAATGTGATCTGTTTGAAGGTCGATATTAATAGTTTTCATATTGATTAATGTGTTCTTAAATGCTGTAAATATTTTGTCTTTCACAAAGACGGTGTCCCTTCACTCTCTCTGAGCACAGTGTGCCTTGTAGAAATCTACAAGTGGTCGTTGTGATGTGTCATCACTTCCTGTTTAAAGCATTTATGTTTTATGTGGCTCTTGTTAAATAAACAAACACTGCCAAGTGAAAACTGTATTTCCATGTTGTTGTTTGTTGTGGTTTTCATAAGTAATGGCAAAGATGTACTCCATTCACTTCCAATTTAGGTCAATTTAAGGGGTGTTTATCACAGATCTTTGTTTAATTTACATATCCAATTAAAAATGCTGCAGTCTAAAAACTATTTAGGTTAGAGCATACAAAAGAAAAACAAAGTTCAATTCTTTTTTTAATGAGGGGAACTTTCTGGATATTTGGGTTTTTAAAACAAAAATAAAAGACACTTTTTAGACACTGCTACTTTGATAAAATTAAGTGTTTCTGGTGTAGCTCTCACTTCCATGAAACCGTCACAAATGAAATCTAATGACATGCAGACTAAGACACACTTCTATTGTTCCTGTAGTGAAAGCACTGAAAGGACGGACTGTGGGAAACCAGAAGAAACTCACTCACAGAGCCTCAGAGGAACAATAGATCCAGACCTTTGCCCTGAAGTGACAGGGGATAAAAGGGAGCCTGACTCCCTATTTCTAATCGTTTTGTTGTTGTCTTTTTGGCCATGATTTTGTCCATTCCTTACATAAAACAGTAACACATTTTTTTTAATTGTCATTTCTTATTGTTAATCTCTATTTTAACAAGAGATCTTCGAAAGTGTCTTGTGTGGATTTAAATTAAAGACACGAATGAAAGAATAATTTTGTTATTGACAGTGCAAACTGCTCAACGTGTCACACATTCAATCGTTGTTAATTTTTTGGGGTCTAAAAATCTATTCGTCATAACGCCTATTGTAAGTTCAAGCCCAAATGAAGAAGCTCCCTGTCACAGATGGTTTCATAAGTATTTGTGGATCCAAGTTAAACTGAACAAACTAGAGGTCTTTAATTAAAAGTGCACATGCAAACTCTTTAAGTAGGCATATAAAGGTTATTCAAAATGAACTGCAAGAAGCCTGAAGTTTACTTCAGCATTTCTTCTCATTCATTCACTTGACCCTTTGCCAAGTCTGTAGACAGTCTTTCTCTCTCTTGTCATGTTTATGTCTTGTTGGCGCTCAAATCAAAGTCGTTTCTTTCTCAGGAATATATTTTCCAAGATAATATGAAACAGAGAAACCAGGTGAACATGTAACAGCTTGCCTCCATGCCCCTGACAGAAGGGAATCTTGCTCAACAAGACATACTGTTTCTAGAAACATGCTATAGATACAGCTTTACATTGGATGGATATCACTAATTCTTAGGTTCTGCAAATTATCCGGTTAACATAGTCGATTTTATTAGTACCCCACTTTTCTGAGAGAAAACATAAGCTAATATTTAAAACTCACAAATCACCACTTTAAAAAACAATGAAAGTCACTGGGGATTTCTAGAAAACAGCTGTCTAATTAGATAGCTAGCTGGAAATTTATTGCAAAACACTGATGTTGTCTCAGTCTGCACAGGAGAAAATAAAGCTAGAGGATACAGAAAAGTTAAATTAATAGGGGTAGTGATGGCATCCATTCATAACATCCTAATAGAGGGGACTACATACAAATTCTGTACATAAAGGTCTCATGTTGGATTCAAACCACTGACCTTGTTAATATCAAGTATCAGTGCTGACCACCACACCAGTGAGCTGCCCTGCAGTCTTAACATATACAGCACAAGGTTTACAAAAGATTTAGCATCTCAGCAAAAGGCCAGAGGATGAAGAAATACTCAAACATTACCCATTATTAGCTGAGGTTAACCTACTGTAGTTGAATTCACTTATTACAGATCTTGAACCTCTGTATGCTTCTTCCTATACTGCAGTATCTGGCCTCCCCATTCCTGATGTAAAGCATTCTAAGTCCCTTTCCAGTTTGTTGGAGTGATAATAATTTCAACTTTCACAAACTGAACTATGGGTAAATAATCTTCAAGATGAAAATTAACTTGTAAATTGGGGCATGCTTATTTAGGCAAATGATAGAAGTGTGGGAAAACCCATGAGACTAGAGTTCAGTGGCAATCACTCCACCAGCAGCCTGTGAATTCTCCAAAGGGATTTGACACACTTCATGAAAATTGTGTCACCCAGGAAGGCTCCCACCATCACAATCCCAAAATTTCAATCCAGCTCTCAGTCAGTTATCAGTCACAGATACGAACCGAGGATCAAAATGTGTCAAAGATTAAAAAAGTAGAAATTATTTTGATATAATCTTTTCAAATGTTATTATCCCAGCCAACCAATGGGATCCATTCCCACCAGATGGTTTGTGATGTAATTCACTGTCTCTATAACAACACACAACCAGCATCTGTGACAAAAATCCCCTTGTGGCTCAATGGCCACAGCACAGGGGTAAGTGTGGGAAACTGAGATCGACCTGCTACTCACAGTGGTTACAAGGCACGTGTCACAAGACACAGGAGCATCTGGATTGAGTTTGTTTTGAGTATTTTAATGTATTATATTGAGTAATTCAAATTAAATTAGATACAGCATTCAAAAATCTTATGGAGTTTTCAAAATGTATTTTTTTGAATAAATTAAAAAAAAAGATGTTTAAGCTCTATGATAGGAAATACAAATTACAAAATTTTCCATTAAAATCAACAGAAGCAGAAAATGCAGAGACATTCACCTAGTCTATCACTTTTTTTTTTGCTTACTTGAAATTCATACATTACAGCTTTGTTATTCCCGCACACGTGCACTGGGTGCTCAGTCAGAATCATTGATCTCAGCATCTGGCAGCAGATCTTCTACAGGGTCACCACTTTCCCAGCTTCACACAGAGATCTGTGGGCATGTCTCAGTCTCCCCCCAGTCCTCCAGCTGTTCCCCTGAGACCTAACCATTATCCCCCAGGCATACAGGAGCATGTTGCTGCTCCACATGCCTTATTGTCTCACAGAGCTCTCTGATTGGTTCAGACTGTGGGAAACCTCAACCAGAGTAAGACCCACACATTGATATGGAAATGTGGGACTATAAGTAGGAGCCAGGAAGCCAGCAGAGATCTTCTTGCTACAGAGACTTCTGCAACACAGAGATCCAACCATGGCACCTACAATTGCTGCACCAATGACCACTTCAATGGATCATTTGACTCTGACCCACAAGGTAAATTGAACACTGCCTGGATTTAAATTATTATTTAAGTTGATAGTCTTTCTTTTCTTTTTCTAACAAAAAACAAACAAACAAGGTTATTTATGACTCTGTTCTTTTTTCTGCAGCTCAGAAAGCCTCTGGTGGAGAAGTTACGCAGAGAGCGAATCAACACCTGCATTGAGCAGCTCAAGTCTCTCCTAGGTCCAGAGTTCCTCAAACAGCAGCCAGACTCCAACCTGGAGAAAGCAGACATCCTGGAGATGACCGTTTGCTTACTGACGCAGCTACAGCAGCAGAAAAACCTGCTGACCCACTCCAACAAGCTGCAGACTGCCTCTGATGAGAAGCTGAGGGAAGTTGACCTTTGTCTTCTGAGCTCCACAGTTCAGACCAGCATCACCCAATGCTCTCTGGAGAGAAAACACAACAGCGTCCTCTGGAGGCCGTGGTAGACCACTCACACTGGACTCCATACCAGACAAGCTAAACAGACCATAT